TAATTTGCACACTTTGTTAATTTGTGTTATGCAATTTCGCAGTTTATACAATTTACTTTCTCAGTTTGGTGAGTTTAGGATTAACCGGTCGCATTTCCTGTATCGGAAATCAATTCTCGCGCATTTGCGGCGTCGCATGGAGAAATGATAAAGATAATGAAGCGGGTTCCGATACCGCGGGAGACCTGAGTGCACACGAAGACGGATCAACGTGGACAGTGTTTGACTGCAGGGAAATTAACGACAGCTGTTTCATAATTTTTCATAATTTTTTATAATTTTTCATAATTTTTAATAATTTTTAATAATTTTCATAATACTATTTTGTATCAAATAAAAATAAAATAATACTTAAAATACAATTTTTTATGGTTTTTTCCTCGACTTTTTCCATATTTCAACTTTGCGAATTTCTTCATTTTCATAGTCCCAAATAAATACACTTTTTGAACAGAACATAGCAATGACAATTTTTCCAATAGTCTAATGTGTCCTCTTTAAAATCCTGTTTGAATTTTGAAAATCGGTTGATTACAAAAAAAGATACAAATTTTTGTTTAAAAAATGAGGTTTTTGCTGATTTTCTGCATTGTTCGGTCTTTAAATGGATATTTCTTAACTAAACTTGAGTGAAACTAAATTTATCGCATACCATTCTCTTCTTTATTAAAAAACGAAGAAATTCATGTACTATTAAGGCCCTTTATCTCTGTAGGACCGGTTTTACAATTAAAAAAAAGTGGGGTCGATATTGACCCCATAGGTGCGTTAGAAGGTAAAAGAAGTCAGAGGTGCGGTCTAGGGTTAAAAATCAAGCAAATCGGAGAGGAGGCCCTTTTTATGCATAATTACCCAAAATATAATTACCTATAAACTAACAGTTCGCCCATCCGATGAACCGCTTGTCGATACTGTTGTTGAAACTCACCGAGACTTTTTATAGAAGTGCCCATAGCAGTTTCTGCAAACACGTATGTTTAAGTATCCGTATAATATTTTGATATATGTTTCAAGTACATCTGTGATTATATAATTATTTTTTATTTTTTATTATACCATTATACCATTATTTATGCATCAGTAAAGCGTCGTTTGACTTTAATCTTAGTTTAATTCACGGCTGTCTCTTTGAAAAATAAAGTTAGGAAAGAGAAAGTATAAATTAAGCTAAGCCCGGTTTCACCATACGTCGTTTAACTTTAATCTTAGTTTAATTTACTTTTGCTTCTTTCTAAAGTAAAGTTAGGAAGAGACAAAGAATGAATTAAGCTAAGCTTAAAGTTAAGCAACATTGGTGAAACTAGGCCTACGTTATAATATTGAAATTTTCAATAAAAAACTTGTATTGTTTCTTATATTATTCATCAAGCAAGAGAGATGACATACTGTACAGTTATGTACGAATACATACCACATATTGCATGTAGCGTATGTTCACTGAAAAATGGTAGTAAATCTTTTACAACTGTGCCCCCTGTATCTTTCAATGACTCGGCCATGTTCTCGGCTTCCTCTATCAAGATCTCAGTAAACTGCTGCAATATAGTGAAATGAAATGAGGGAGTTAACATCTTTCGTCGTGAATGCCACTTGATCCCTAAAACGTAAACAACATAGGGCAAAATTAAAGGTGAAATAAATATTTCGAAGAGATTATATTTTTTGTTTTGGCAGATTTTTAATAACTATTGATTACCCACCAAATTTATTCTTTTTTAATGTGCATTTAAATTTTTGTGAAAATAAATTATAAAACGTCGAAAAAAAACTTTGCAATACATTTTTAATATTCTATTATAACTTTTTAATCTTTCGTTGTTGTTGTTGTTGTTAATATCGTCAGTAGTAATGGCTTCCGAATGGATGCCGCGTTTATTCACAACGTCTCAGATAGCAAAATCATGCAGGCCAATTCAATCATAATTTTCCCGCAGATTCTAATCAAATACTTCCTTATTAGGTTCAATTTTTCACAGCACAATTTTTGCTATCATAAAACTATCAGAAATACAAAAAAACTCAAGCATTGTCTATGATCATATTATAATAGCAAGTACGTAACAAATATAATACATTAGGGAAATATAAATTTAATATATGTTTAGGCATATATATTTAATTTATATTTATTTCCCTACTTAAAAATATTTAATTTTTCAAGAGTATGTTATTTAGTGCTGTATGTTTGCTGTATTCTTGCAATTACATTCGATATTAGATTATGCTCGATTTTTGCCATGTTTTTGCCTTCAACACTTGATAAGGCAGATAAGGTTTGTCGCATTTATGCCAACACGTTATGACCGTGCTTGAGTTTTGCTATAACTTTGCCGTCCGTACTTGCAATGATATGTCAGCTCGTGTCGCGTTTTTGCCGTGCTTATACTGTTGCCATATGATACTGCATTATGTTTGATTTCTGCTGACTGTCTGCCGTTAGCTTACAATTTACCAGACCTTGCTCGATAATTGCTACCTATTTGTTACGTAACATGATATGATAGACATTACTTTGATTCTGATATCTTTTTGCGAAAAAATTTGGTTCTGTTTTTGCTACATATATGTATATTAATATATTGTGAAGCAAATCCTGCTCGAATTTTGCTATAGTTTTATAGCTGATGCTTTTTGTGACAACAGACTATGCGTGATAATTGCATGATTTTTACGAATATAATAAAAAGCACAATTTGCTCTCGGTACGTTTGGCTATCTGGCGTAAAATTAACGTTTTACAATCAATGCACTTTGCCATTAATGCTTGGAGGTTCTGATATTGACCGGTATCAGAATTTTCTTGCCCCGATGATGCAAATTGCAATGTTCATACAACATAGTAACATACATGTCATCATTTATCTTAACATTATTATGTTACCTCCACTAGTGAGAAGACCAGTATGGATCCAGGGATGCACAACATCATACATGAAACTCTTTTCTATATGTATTGTGCTGTTTAATATTATCTGAAATTCAGCGTTATTTAAAAAGAGTTACGTTACCGTTAGCGTTATTTTTCTTAAGAAGTAATTCGTTTCGGTGCCATTGCTGAGCAAATAACGGTTCATTTTTTGTTGCTTCTTTTATATTTTAAAGATAAAAGACGTAATTGATTTTTTAAATAAAATATTTTATTTTATTTTAAGAAACATAACAAAAATTGAAATATATGTACTGGGTGAGACATTTTAATCGTCGCACGTAAATATCTCTTCGGGGAAGGAGGCTAGCAGAAAATGACCTGGGCACAAGTTGTATGGTTTCGAGGGGGACATAAGATGGTGTCATTAATTTGATCTTGAATAGTTGCTTGAAGATCACGTGAAGATCGCCTTCAATTTTTTAAATGATACCCCTAATTGTTTATTATACTATTTTATTCTACTAATTAATATAATCAACGTTAATTCGAAACATTTTTTTATTTGCCTAATACTTTTTGAGATATTTAAGAGAAAAGATATCGTTCGATAGCACACAAATATGTACAAATATTTAAGAGATTTATTTTAATACTTTATCAATATTTATCACAATATTTCATAACTATTTTTATATAGTCTTTGATTGAATGGATCATATATGATCATATATGTATAATATACATATAATAATACAATCGTATACATATATATTTTGTTAAATATTTATATATATTTTGTTAAATATTTATAACGTATTAAAATAATTCTTTTAAATATTTCGAACATATTTCTGTGTTATCAAACGATATCTAACTCACATTTACGTCGCATATAATTGGCTAGGGACAAAATCCATGCTTATATCATACATGCTTATATCTGAGTTAGATGTACTCAAATATGATTAGATATAAACATTTTTTCCCGGGTTTAAAGCAATCACGTAAAGAAATCTTAATTCTCTGAATCAGAGTTTTGGCTGAGTTTTCAATATGAATTTGTATATTCAAAATATAACGATAGAAGTACGGTTGACTTTGTTATTGTTACCCAATAAACGTAACAACGTTACTGTTACTGATAAAAGTAATAATCTGAATAAGAGTCACGGTAATGACGCTATAAATAATACGTTATTTTCTAACTCTGCTGAAACTGTAGAAAGTTAAACAACTTTTCAGGTAG